TTGTGGCACAGTGCAGCGGCGGGCCGCATGAACTGACCTCGCGGGCCGTAGTTTTGTGACCTCTGCGCTAGACTAACAAGTGGTATGATGTCTTTGTCTGTTGAGGAAGTATGTTGGCTTTCATTTGGCAGGTGGTAGTGTTTCATGCGCCCAAGCCCTTTTTTTTTGAACCTGAAATACCTCTACCTGTGTTTCTCGTTTGTGACGGAAAGGATTTTGCCGGTTTTTTTCCCACTGCCTACCTTTTTTCTAATCTTATACCCATGCTATCTTGAATCTACCTAAGCCTTTTTCGTAATTTTGGGACAAAGTTTCTCAGGTATGTTTCTCTCCTTCAATTTGTAATTCGTTCCTTGATTCTTACTTTTATGGTTTTTACTTGTTTTCCAGATATGCAAGTCCATGTTTGATTACTTGTAAGCACAACTTTTGTGCAAGCATGATTCGTCCTTCTTCCTTTGTTACCTCATATGACTAGGCATGACATTGCACTCTTTTACCCTTTTTCGACTCATAAGCTTTGGAGTCACATCCTTTGTCTTTTGTTTGTCTTTCTTAGGCTTAATTTTTCGCTCCTTTGTCTTACACACACACACAACCTTTTTACATTATTTTCCCTACAGTGGTGTTTTGGATCTTCCTTTGTTCTGTCTTCTTGGTTGATCTGTTGCAATAATTTGTTGAGGCGAGACACTCTTCTTACTCAAGTGCTTTTGTCTCACTTTTATCTCATATACCTTTGTCTGGCTCCTTTCGTCAGCCAGTGTGAATTCACTGGAGTGCTTGTTTCTTTGGAGTTACATTTTGGGGCTGTATGCCAATGTTCTTCATCATCTTCACTGGTTTCTCTCTCCCATGCTCCTTTTTTATCTCTTTCCATCTCCTGTCCTCATGCTGCTGCTTCTCTCCCTGTCTCCACTTCCAATTCCTCTGTTTCCATCCATCCTTCCACCACTCATAGACTTCACTGCTCTGTCTTTGTGGTGACTATTCTGTAGGCTCTGAGTCAGTAGTGCCCATTTAGTTTGGTATTTCGGCTTTTGTCTTGCATTTGGGGACGATTGTTGAATACCTGGAGCT